TTTTTTGCTTTACTTCCCTTACCTACCACAGAAATAAAATTCCAGGCTAGGCAGCAGGGAAGGCCCTTGGATCTGTGTGAGCATGTCAAAAGCATTTTAAGAAGAGCAAAATATTTAGAGGAAGAATTTGGAAAAGCAGCCTTAAGGGATTTAACACATTTTTCTTCTCCTAATTCAGTCTCGTGTTTGTCCCCCTAATGGAGAAAGGTCATTAATGGATAAGATTTGCTAAGCCAGCAAAGGCTTTCAGAAGCGAAATGGTTTTCTCAAATCCCAAATCTAAAGAAAAGAGTTGAAGTTTGGCAACCTGAAAGAATACATCTAGAGAAGGTGGATTTGCAGTGTACATTATACTTACTCATTTAATACATATACAAATAATAAAGTTATATGTAAATTTGTTGTGTACTTACACATTTTTGCTTTGGAGAAACTGAAGTAACTAACTGGCTTGGTGATGAGAGTTGAAATAATTTGAGACTGTTGAAATTCTGTATAAATTTCTTGGAGGGCAAAATGATTGACAGATTTTTAGTTGCCCTACTACCAGTTTGCTAGTCTGTGTTCACCTCTCTGATACAGAGACCTGGGCCAAGGTTGTTTACCTTAATTGTTGTGACGTGGAGGTCAGTTCTATACTAGTAAGGTCAGTTCTATACGGAATTCCTAACTGGTAGAAAATAAGATGCATGTGTGTGTGTGTGTCTGAAAAAAAAGAAATGCAAACTAAAGGCTTATTGAAATATGAACCCCGTTTTTTTCCCTCTTTAACTAGATCAGGAAAATGAATATAGAAGAATAGTTATAAATTTTGGAGTCTTTTTGAAACATTTGGATATTAGACAATTTATCTTTTACAGGCAAATATTTTATCCGTTACTTAGACTCATGTTCAGTCACTGATTAGACCCAAAGAATAAAGACTATTATAGAAACAGTTCCTTATTAATTTTTATAAACATTCTGTACAGGGAGAAATCTAGTTTAGAATTTGATTTCATTGTATATGTGATAAAATGGGAAGGTGTTAGATATCATTTAATAAGGTGACAGGTCCTCATTTCTTTGTCCACTCTATATCTGGAGAGAAACCTACATAGTATTAAATATTTTAATATGTTTTTGAAATAAAGTTACATGCTCTGAAAAGAACACTTAAGGAAACATAAAGTGTAGTAATATTTCTTTCTTAGAATTTTTCCCATTTTTATGGCCAAAAATTCTTAAGTTGTATAAGTGTTATGAAATTAAGGGAATTTAATATTAATATTTATTTATGACCTTTCTATATTTTTTATTCATAGGATTAAAGAATAATGGATATGGCAAAGTTTACAAAAATAAATCCTTTTTAAGGTGGTGGGAAAAATCATGGGATTTTCTAAGTGCCCTGAACACTGATATTTAATGTTAAATTCATTTTGATGAGTCTTGTATAGCGCCCTCTGCAGGTTGATGTGTGGTGGTAGCCTTATATTCTGCGTATAATCTATCTCTACTCTGTCCCTCTTGGGTAAAATGGTAAAGGCTCAGACATTCAGCATGTAAGCAAGTCCTCTTTGTTAACGAATGGCTTATGTGTAGCATTGATCAGGTGATAGAAATCCTGAAATAGGGGCTGATGCTGTCTTCATTGTCCTTTCTGGAAGGAAGGTCACCACTCAGCACCATTAACATCAGGAAGTTTCTTAGAGAACAGTTTTGTTTTCTATACCAGTTGCTCCCTTAGTGTCTTGGAGTCGGTCTCCAGTTACCTTTATGGATCTGTAAAAGTACACTCTTTTCTGAAGCCACTGCTATATTTATTCTAGGAATGACCTTTTAATTATGAACTCTCCTTCCAGAAGGGAGTAAGGACAAAAGATACCTCGAACTTGCTGAACTAGCAGGTGAACTTCTGATTATCCCGTTAGCGATTGGTGAGAAAGGTGTGTGTTTACATGCAGAAGGCAGCCCCTTTGGATTTGATTTGTGGAGGGCACAGCACGCTCGGGCCTCTTTCGTTATTATTTTGCTGTCGTGCTGTGGGAGGCAGCCCGGCAGTGTGGACGGTGGCAGGGCAGGCAGTAATGCATACAGATGGAACTGCAGCTTTCTGCACTGATCCAGATACTCTTTGGATTTTCAGAACTAAAATGCTACTTTGTAGGCTTGAAGCCAACTGTGACTCTTTTGCTGGTTTAAAATATAAAGTTGGGGAGAGGTTGAAGAGGATATGATTGGAAGTAACAGAAAAGGACATTTGTTTATCTGCCTTGCTTACACTTTTACTATAATCATAACAACAAGCTGAACACCAGCTCTTTGTCAAGTGCTTTCCACTTCTATTCACTAATGTTTACAGTTCCCTTGCAAACTACGTATTATTTATCCCCATTTTACAGAGGAGAAAACTGTGAGGCCAGGAAATGTCACAATGACTTACTGAAGGTCACACAATAAACGCATTGGGGTGCAGTCTATTTGGTTCTGAAGTCCTTTGCTCTTTTTGTCATGCTACACGGCCTCCTCATATCTGACCAAATCATTCTGTCCATCTTCAAGAAGTTCAGGGTACTTTAGTTTTTTAAAGTCAATTTTCATTTGTGGTGGCTTGGAAAATGAATTTGTAATCAAAACCAAAAAACATAGATAATGTTTTTAAGTTCCTCTGATTTCTCTACCTGTAAAATCTTTGGATAGATGAGGATCATTAAAACCTTTTTTCAGTCTTACTATAGGAAAATGGGTTACAAGACTGTCTCTAAATCTTGTACTATTGTTCTGAAGGGTGTAGGGCCGGTATTAAAAGGCAGGAAGTTATGAATTCCTTAGTTTTTGTTGAATAACTTTGAGTGTTTTGAATATGCTAACATTTTGATCATGCTGAAATTTTATTTAAACAAAATGCAATGGAAAGTATTATATGTGAGAGTTAGAAAGTCAGGTCCTCATTATATCTTATAAACCTGGATTTTGTAGCTGGCAGCAATATGCTGGGGCCTAGGGTGAGACAGCCAGGTCCCTTGGGAGAGGTGCCTGAGCCTCTCTCTGTCGTAGGTGCTGTCAGGCTGCGTAAATGATGAGCTGGGCGACCATCACATTCTGCGTTAGCTGTGCTTCATTGTGCCCCGAGAGCTCTACCAATCGGACTATTTTAAACTCCCCAGGGTAGAGATAAGCTTATTTAGTGCCTTACTAAAGGTGCAGACTCTCATGCTTTTCCCTTCTGTCTCTTTTTCTTTCCCACAGATGAACACAATGACGTGCAGAAGAAAACCTTTACCAAATGGATAAATGCTCGATTTTCAAAGGTAACCAAGACTTCCAAAAACTTTATAATGGTTCACATGCCTCATTCTGATTGATGGAGTTTGGCTGGAAGGGCGGCAAATTTTCCCCATGAACTGTGACCTAACTGCAGTCTTCTGAGTATGCAGATATAGTTACTCTTCTTTTAGTTTCTTCTGAAATATGTTTAAATGAAAATTCTGATATGAACAGTCTATGTGATGCTTTTTACTTTTACCCAGCCATCTCCAGATACCTAAGCCAACAGTTTTGCTGCTTTCGGTTCAGTGACTCCTGGCACATCTAGGAAATGAACATCTCGTTGGGAAAATTTTTTATTCGCTTTGTTAAAAGGATGACGATTTCATTTTGCTTTGGTTAAAACCAAATTGTTATCAGTCAGGCAGCCTTTCTGCCCTTTCAAAACTATTTAGGGTTTTTTATCCTACTGGATGTGGCTAATAATGTTTATCTACCCTGTGGTTTCTTTTCTTGTGTACTTCCTCAATTTTTCCCCCCAAAGATCTGTTTTTTCTCGGCATTTCTAACCACTTGGAACATAATCAATGCTTTGATCAATACTTTCTGTTAGGGGCAGAGCATGCGGAAGAGACGAATTGGCAGTGCTATTTTCAAATTTCTTCTAATATGATTGTCCATTAGTTATTGAAGTTGGGATTTTTATCTACTAAGTCTGAGGTAGGAGGAGAGTGTTCATATTAATGGCTTACAGGACTGTATTATAGCAAGAGGAGAAATAAAGTTTTCTCAGAGAAACACTGTTGCGGTCTTTTAATTATTATGAAAGCTATTTTAATTAAGAGTTATTTCTATTTGAGAAAGTTGTAAGGTCAGGGAAATTAATAGTAGTATTTCTTTGAGGAAAAATGAGGATATGTTAAGGTTACTCTGAGTGGCAACACAGTTTAAAGATTGCTATGTATCCCAGTGTTTCTGGTTGATTGATTGTGATGTTTCTTAGATTTTATTATACAAGTTTTTGTTGAGGGCTATTTAATTTTTTTTTTTTTAATTTTCATAGATTTAGGGAGGCACAAGTACAGTTTTTTAGGTGGCTATGGCAGGCAGTAGTGAAGTCTGGGTAGCCATCACCTGAAAAGTGTACATTGTACCCATTAAGTAATTTTTCACTCCTTACCCCTTCCACCCTCCACCCTCTTCTCTCTGCAAACCATTATGTTGAGGGATATTTTATCCTGCCTCTGAGAATGTAAGGAATGTGAAAACTGACTTTGACTAAAGAGTTAAGAATATGGAGAATTCAAATATAGAAGTGCTTACATAATTGGTGATTTTATTGGTAGGATTATTCCAAAGTGTTTTTTGGTAAATTTTAAATTGTTTTATTCTAGAGACACAGTTAACCACGTGTGTGTTTTGGACTAGACGTTACTCAAAACTTTTGGACTATCTGCATGTGACCATACTCTGGGCAACAGAATTTTAGCAACTGAGGGAGCCTGAATGTGAGCTGTTTGATTCCAGTGGTCTCATGAGGCTCATATGGATAAGATTATTCATCCTGTTTATTAGTGAGGATAACATGGTCATTGTCTAGATAGAACAAGTGAAACAGACTTAATTTTAGCGGCTTAATTTAGCCATGGGGAAGAATTGCCTTAGAACCATGTTCGAAGATCATTTTGAAAGCATCACAGTCTTGGTAGACCTAAGTTTAGGGAACATTTGAAACTGGGTGAATTACTTTTGTAATTTATGAAAATGCAGAGAAATAGACAGTACAATAACACGTGGAAGAGGCTGTGTAGAAAAATAGAGATGACAATTGAGAAAGAATAATTGAAAAGAAATTTCACAGTATTCATGGTGGGTCATTGACATCTTTAAAAAGATCTCAAATAAAACAAAATCTAGTAGCATCAGACTAGTTTTGTAAATGAACTTGATATTTAAATTTGTATATTTATAATGTATATTATTTTGCAACATAAATGAGGATGTTAAATCCCATGTAAATTATTTGCCCTGGGATACTTGTAATTCTTGCCAAGACAATAGAAAAGACTTGGTAATTTTTATCATTTTTAATAAAAGTTCTAGTTATATAAACTGACACAGAAGCCGGAAGCTTGTTGTGTATGGAGAGAAAGTATCAAAAGTGGGACGACCCTGAAAAGTTTTCCTTTCAGATGTCTTCTAATGAGAAATCCAAAGTGTGGAAGGAATTTATCTAAGAAATTGTGAGTATTTGGATATAATGAGATGGAGGGCTCATGACAGTGATTTTCAACTTCATCCACGTTGTTTTTGCTTTCTCCCGCTGTCTTAAGTCCATAAATTGGGCTGTTTCCAACCAGGGATGGCAGAAGAGGGAGTAACACACTACTAGACTGGGAGATTCCATGGACTCCCATGCTGCTTAACCCTTGCTGCACTGGGAAAAGGATGTGTTTGTGCATGGTGTCACTAGGTAATCCAGAGGCTAGCATGAACACACACACACACACACACACACACACACACACACACACACACACACACACACACACACACACATCCTGCTGCAGGGAATGCATTTTGTTTCATTTCTTTTTTATCCATGTCCTTTGGTATATATTGTGGTGGACTTTAGAATATAATTACTCACCGGTCCCCCTACTTTCCTGCATGTAGGTCCCTCTACAGAGCAATAGGGTCCCTGTGCTGAGAAATCCAGACACCGATGCCATTTTTTTTTTTTTTTTTTGCCATTTAGGAATTTGTTACTGGTTGTAACATCTTACTAGTCCACTCATTAATTAATGAGTTAAATAAAGTCTTTGACACAGGTTAATATTACATTTATTACATTTGTCGGAGAGTCATGATTTTACCTCTTTTGAAAATTATCCTGAGCACATGGACCACTGTAATAATGTGCTAACCGATTCTTCCTTTGCATGCTCTACCTTCTCCACTCTTCCTTCCAGTTTTGGCAGAGTAGCTACAGTGATCTTAAAGGGTAAGCCTGAATACTTCTTTCTCTTCCATCAGCTCTTTCATTGACTGCCCACTGTCCTTCTTAAGCACAATTTTTAAAATTGAAATTGTATCTATTTAAGGCGTATAGTGTGGCATTTGGATCTTACTTGGCTTTTAAGGCCCCATTTAGGTGCCCCCAATCTACTCCTAATTTTATTTTACTGTACTCTCGCTCCCTTGTTATGCTCTAGCCACACTGACATTGTGCCCCCACCATTCCAATGGGCCTTCCTGGCCTTTGCACATGCTCCTTGCTCTGTCTTTTCCCGGCCAGTTCTGCTCCTCCTTCTTGTCTGAATGTAAATGTTGCTTCCTTAAGGATACTTTTTCTAACCTCACAGACCAGGGGCGATAAGCTCTACACTCTCAAGGTGTTATCCTTTGAAGCACTTATCATAATTATAGTTTAAATATTAACAATTGCCTCACTCCTCTCCTAGATAGTGGTAAACTATCATGGGTGCAGGGACTGTCTATTTGTTCACTGGCACAACTTTTGGCATTTAGTAGGTACCCAGTAAGTATTTATAGGCTTCATAAATAAATGAATGACAGTGTTGCAGACATTCATTTAATATGCCTAGTACTGTATGTTCGTAAGCCCATTGGAAATGGTTGTGTTGGTAAGAGATATGAGTAGAGTGTGGAATTGAGTGTAACATGGTATAAATTGTATATTGTTATGGATATGAACACAACACATGAGGACTTTTGCTGCATTTATTCACAAAAATAAACAAAAAAAATCCAGCTATGCAAACTTTGCCTATTTACCTGATTTTGGAGTTGTGCTGGAACCATTGTTTAAATAATGCCTTAATTCTTCTTATTTACTCCATATGGTTCTTCATGTGGAATCCACCCACTAAATTCACTGTGATGAAAAATGAAATGTAAAACTTAAAACCAGCTTAATTCATGTCTTGATAAGGGATTTAGTAAAGCGCTTGAGAATACTGAATAATGTAGGTCTAAAACGATCTTTTGATTTTGAACTACATGTGAAAGTACAATAGCTAAGATAGCATTCACTATAAATATGTTAATATATTATTTTTGCTGAAAATCCTTGTTAATATGTCACAGAGTATACAACGCTTTGGAGTTTGGGTATCCTGTGTGAGAAGTCATACAGTGTAGAGTAAATTATGGTTCTTGGATTTTGAAGAGTTTTGAAGAACTCAGATGAAAATGATGATCTAAAGGAGCTAAAAGTTAGGAAATTACACTTATTCCTGGATATGCTGCTCATTTATTTATGACCTCAGGCAAATTATTAGCCAATTTTTTTCAGGTCACTTGGTCTACATTCCTTCAGCTCTAAACACATGTGATCATTACTACCTGCCTCATATTGCTAAGAAATATCGATGCGTTGCTGTGAAGCATATAGGCAATTATAATTACTTAGGAATGCTAAATAAAAACCCTATCAAGTATTCCTAACTTGTGATACCCTTGATCTATGCTACACATATAAACTGAAATGGAAAAAAGCACTGGCTCATTAAGCCCACTTCATTCCATTGTATGGTAGGTAAAACTTGAGTATTTTGCTCTAATTTTCAGAGTCTTGGGTTTGTTATCAGGCTGGTTTCCCAAGGGAGGCAGCGAAGGCCTCATTGCTTTGCTGTTGGGAAATTTGTTCTGACTTTCAGCCTGCATTTTCTTTGGCTGATTTTCAGAGCTGCTCATCTGGCAGAGCTGAGAACATACAAATTGCAGAAGCTCTTTTATCAGTTTGGTGAGACGATTCTCAAAAGAGGCTTAACACATAAAGGTTAGGTAGAGAATATGCAAGCTTAAAAATGCCAAACTTTAGTTTGGACAAATTTCTGCTTTTCCCTTTTCTAAGACAAAGGAGCCAAGTTTTCATATAAGTTATAATTCCAAACTTGAAAGTTAAATTGACAAACATAAGAGAGGAAATCTGGGAAGTATTTTTTTATAGATTCTGATATGAAGAGCTATTCACATGTGTTCCTTTTGGAGACAGTGGGACACTGCTTTTAGTGTCCTA